CCACCCTATAGTGTAAAGCCCACCAAAATTATTCAAACTAGCCAATCCTAAACTGTTGACCCTGCCTTGCCTTGCTATTCCTGTGGAAACTGCAGTAAAGACCATGGTCTAAGTTCTCTCCTAGTTCCTACCCTTTCTGCCTCCTGACTGACACTGATATCTTCCCCTGTGGCCCTGTGTGGCATGTGGTGACCCCCTTTCTGGGACTTGTGAGTACAATAAACTTCCTTCCACACCTTGTTCTTGTGTCCTCCTATGGCCACACTGATTTCATCACACCCTGTTCAACATTTACATTCCTAGAACAGTGTGTTTACAAGGTCTCTATGTTTTAAGTGTAGTGTTCTAATAGTAACTCTAACTAGACTGTGAAAGATAAGTGTATTATAATTCCTAGAGCAGTGCTTCTCAGTCTAGGGTGATTTTGCCCACAGGGCACATTTGGCAATGTCTGGGGACATTTTTGATCGTCATAACAGAGGCAAGGTGTGACTGGCATCCAGAGCGTAGAGGCCAGAGTTGCTGCTAAACATCCTACAACACTCAGAACAGCTTCCCACACCAAAGAGTTGTCCTGACAAAAAAGTAAATAGTGCTGAGGTTGAGAAACTCCGCCCTAAGGCCACCACAAAACTATAAAACATCATAGCTAAAAAGCCAATAAATACATTAAAATTGAATTATGAAGAATACATAAATAATTTTTAAAAGATTGAAAAGAGGACTGAGGAATAAAAAAATAGAAGAGGGAAATGCAAAACAAATAATAGGTAGCCTTAACTTCAATCATATCAAAATTACGTAAGATGTGAAGGGACTAAACATTCCTATTAAAAGGCAGAGATTACCAGAATGGATTAAAAGCATGACCCAATTATGTGATATCTACAAGAAATGTACTTTGAATGCAAAGACATAGATGGTAATGGGTGAAAAAAAAAGATATACAGTGCAAAAGTAAGATAAAAATGCCTGAGTGGCTAATAGCAGATATGAAATAGACTTGTCAAGACATATTGCCAGAGATAAAGAGGAACACCGCATAATAAAAAAAGATTCGATTCATCAGGAAGACATAACAATCATAAATGTGTACGCATCTAATAAATAGACTCTCAAAATGTATGAAGTGAAAAATCATAAAATTAAAGAGACAAGAATATCCCATAATGATAGTAGATTCTAATATTCCTCTCTCAGTAACTGATAAAAAACTAGACAAAAATCAATAGAAGCATAGATAGTCTAAACAACACTATCAAACACAATGAATTAATTGATATTTATGGAAAACTACACACAAAATAATTATCAATGCTCATGATACATTCACAAAGACATACTATATAGTTCAATCGATCAAATGTCAATATATTTACAATGATTAAAATCAAAGATATGTCCTCTAAATGAAAATTCAGTACTTTTAAAATATCTGGGAAAACTCAACTTATCTGTAAATTTGTCAATACAACTTCTAAAGTATTCATGGGTCAAAGAAGAAATCATAAGAAAAATTAGGAGATATTTCTAACTGAATGATAATACAAGCTCAGCCTATCAAAGTCTGTGATAAACAGTGAAAGCAGTGCTTAGAAGGAAATTTATAGCTTTAAATGCTCATGTTAGAAAAGAAGAAAGGCAAAAATTCAGTGCCCTTGGGTTCCAAATTAAAAAGTTGAAAAAAGGAACAGCAAAGTAAACCAAAGGTACATAGAAGAAAGGAAAAAATAAAGAGCAAAAATCAACTAAATAGAAATCAGACAACAGTGAAAATTAGCAAAATGCAAAGCATATTCTTGTTAAAACAGAGAAAATTGATAGGTTCATCAAGAGAAAAAAGAGAAAATGCAGATCACCAATATCAGGAAAGAAAGAAGGTATCACTAAATATAGATTTAAAGACACAATAGTGGAATACTAACAACTTTATGCTTTCAAATACAATTTAAATAAACTTAACAAATTCCTTGAAAAATACCATTTACCAATGTCAACACAAAATCAAACAAAAAGTATGAGTAACCCAATATTTATAAAACAAATTAACTTTATTATCAAAAACTATCCCACAAAGAAATCTCAGGCCCAGAAGATTTCCCTTATAAATTCTATCAGACATTCAAGGAAGAGATAACACCACTCAGATACAAAATCTTTTAGAAAATAAAAGAGGAGAGAATACTTTCCAACTTGTTTTATGAGGCCAGCATAACCCACATACTGAAACCTGGCAAAGACGTTATGAAAGAATTAAAATAAAAGACCAATCTGTCTCATGAACATAGACACAAAACTCCTTAAAAAAATATTAGCAAACTGAATGCAGCAATGTATAAAAGGGATAATGCCCCATGACTAAATGTGTTTATCTTAGGAATGCAAGGTTGATTTAATGTTTTAAAATCCTAATAAAAATAAGATTTTTTAAAATTAGGCAAGCTGATGGAAAAATACATATGCATAAATAAACAAATTCTAAAAAAAAAAGAAGGTTAATAAGAAGGGAGTAACTCTATCTGATATTAAAACATAATAAAAGGTTATAATAATTGAAACCATTTTGTACTTAATAAATACATGAATGGAATGCAGAATCCAGAAATAGGCACAAACACACATGGTAATGTATATATGATAGAGAAGAAAGAATGGAGTATTGAATAGATGATGTTGAAAACTCTAACCTGCCATCCGAATAAAAAATAAAGCTGATTGCACATATTTCTCCTTACTTAAAGTAATTCCAGATGAAACATAAATTTAACTATTTTTAAAAATAAAATTATAAAAACACTGGAAGAAAACTTGGAAATATCTTTTATGATTTCAATGTGGAGAAAGACTTTCTCAAAAAGAAATAAACTTAAAAACTTTGAAAGATTGATAAATTTGACAGCCTAAAACTCAAAGAGTGAGTCATAAATAGACAGTTCACAGAAAAATAAATAAATGGCATTCTAACATAAGAAAAACATCTTTAACTTTCTTCAAATTCTACCACTGGAAAGAAAACAAAAGTAAGATATTTTTCTTTATCTCACTGGCAAAGCAAGAGTTTGATAACACGCAATGTTTCTGAGGATGTGTGAAAAAGGATGCATAAAGTGGTGTCACCTATGTAGAAGGCAAGATGGCAATATCAGTTAAAATTCACATGACTTTTGATCTAATAAATGAATTTTGATCTAATAATTCCACTTACGGAAATTTGCACTACAGATACATTTTCACATTTGTGCAAAGTCCTACAGACAAGAATATTTAGAGCAGCATTGTTTAAAAATAAAAAATTTTAAAAGTAAAAATAAAGATCCATTGATGAAGGGCCGGATACATAGAATAGGCTTAAAAGGGAATATTCTGCACTATTAAAAAGACGGAGGTTGATCTATACAGGATTATAGAATAAAATCTCCAAGGTCTATCACTGGGTAAAAGAGCTTGAGGCAAAAGAGTTTACAACATGTGTACCCATTGGCTAAAATAATTTGTGATGAATGTGTGTGTAGACACATACTTACAAATGTGTATAAACACACATATATACATCAAAGACATTTTCATTTGTATATATTTATAGACTATTTCTTAAAAAAAATGAAACTGCTGACTATCACCTATGGAGATAATTCTGGAGAACTGAGAGTCGGAGGTGGGAGAGACATTTCCTGAAAATAAACATTTTTGTGATGTTTAAATATATGATTACCATGTGCATATATTATTGAAAAACTCTACCAGTTCAAAAAGATAGTGAGCTAAATCAATCTGTCAAAGCAAGTTAGTGAACTGGATCAATTAATTGCATTGATGAAAAAAGTAAATAAAAAATGTCTTAGGGCTGGCCCCGTGGCTGAGTGGTTGGGTTCTCGTGCTCTGCTGCAGGTGGCCCAGTGTTTCGTTGGTTCGAATCCTGGGCATGGACATGGCACTGCTCATCAGGCCACGCTGAGGCGGCGTTCCACATGCCACAACAAAGAATATGCAACTATGCACCGGGGTGGGGGTGGGGGGGGCGGTGTTTGGGGAGAAAAAGGAAAAAAATTTTAAAAATCTTAAAAAAAAAATGTCTTTGATTTGGTATGCTTTATGTAAGGAAAACCAATCACTTGATCAAGCTGTGGTTTAGAAAGATTTTTCAGTTCTTTTTCTGTGCCAGGCCCAATGCCAGGTGCTTAAGTGACCCCCCCAAAAAAAAGTACCTGCCCTCAAGGTGCTCACAGTTCAGTGGGAAGAACCCACATTCAGAGGCTCAGAGAAAGATTGCTGTCCTTCTGGCTTAGATCTAAAATGTCTAGGAAAGGCAGTTCCTTCTGAGACCATTACCAGAACTTAGTTTAACAAGTCCCCTTTGTAGACCCCCGCCAGGTCTCTTGGTAACTGTCAACATCTCTGAGACAGCTGATGTCCCCTCCACTAAACTTCCAGGGAAGATCCCAAAGAGACTTCTTTTAAGAAGAGCTATTAGCCATCGTGGATTAAACTTTTCAGAATAATTGATGGACAGAAAACTGTCCATTAAACTTTACGGAATAATTTCAATTCCAAAGGCTTTACACTTTTTCCTACCTCCACTCCTTTGGTTGTGCCATTCCTTCTGTTTGGAATATTCTGAAACTTTTGTTCTCCTTCTTTGGCTAACTCCTACTAACATCAAATGTTGGCTCAAGTGCCTCTCTAGGAAAGCTTCTCTGATTCTCTGCCACATGAATTAGGTTGAGGGCCTTTCCTCCATGCTCCTGCAGCTCTTTACACCTTACATTCAACCATTTACTTGTCAGGTTCTCATATTAAAGTACAAATATACTTAACGTTGTATCCCTGGTGTCCGACATAGAAGAGGAACTCAATGATTGTTGGATGGGCTCAACTGTAGAGCTTCAGTGTTCCCCCCTGGGTTCTCCCAGCTTACAGTCCTGAACTGACTTTGTGACTGATCTCCCTACATGCCCTGCCCCTACTGCACCACTTTTCCAAGTCTAAGACATCATACTCACTTGTCCAGTGACATCCTAGGGAACGCAAACTTGCCCAGGCAGACGCGATAGACAGCGCTCAGGGGAATGTGCTGCAACTGCACACAGCTGAGCATGATAAAGTCATATTTGCAGATCAAGAGAGTCTTGTCTGTGACCAGCAAAATCCTCTCCTTCTCATTGTTCCAGTGGTCTATCCTGCAGGAATCATCACAGAGAAGAAAAGTTGATGGCATAATCTTTCCAAGTTTAAGATAATGGCATTCACTGAAACATCTCTACTAAAACAGAAGATAGTAAGGTTTGATCACCTCAGAAGAAAGAGGGGCTGAGGAATACCTAACGCCATCCCCTTTCTCTCAGTCCAGCCCCGTGAACAAGGGAGGAGGGAAAGTGGAAGGTCACAGGGATACGTCTTATGACCACAGAGCTCAGAGATGATTACCCATGACGGGATCCATTAGGGGAGTAGCAAGTTTGCATCATGTTGGCTGTCAACTGATTCATGCTCCTCCACATCTTCTCAGTTCTTAGGAAAACTTCATGGAGCAGATCTTCTTCCAAGGATATCAAAAACATCTCTTTGTTCTAATTCAATCTGTACCACAAACTTTACTCACTATTCTTTAGCTTCTGCTAACCTCCAAAGGTTGAATTGCTGACTGGAGATAAAATCGAGACTTGAACACAAGTTCACTGACCCCCAAGCCACTACTATTTCAGCTCATTCTATCATATCCTTGTGGTATAAATATAGTGAAGCAAGTGAAGTGGGATTCTTATGAGCCAAGGACAAAGTAGACACTAGATACATGTTACTGAGTTGATTTGCTTCAGACTTGAGAGCCTTTTAGGGCGTGCATGGAAAATTCTGACTGAGAGTTAAGATTCTCTCCAACAGAGAGAACAAGAAGAGATTGATTAAAACAATGGCTTCTGGTCAAAAGAAAGTGAGCAGGATCTGTAATTCCTCTTGCCCTCAGCAGTTTTTCTGTCTGTCTACTATAGCCTTTAGGATATAGAACTTCATGACTTTTATCAGAATTGTTTTAGTATATGTTTTGTTTTCCCTAAAAGACTGAAAAGGATGATTTGTGACTAATTCATATCTGAATCCACACTACACAGAATCGTCTGATGTACAGACAGTACAGGCTTTGCACTCCCATCCATTCTCACACAGTAACCACAGGGCTATTTTTAAAGTACAAACCGAATCATATCACTCCCCTGTTCACTTTATTAAGTAGCATCCCTTTGATCTTAGGATCAAATCCAAGCTATGTAACATGGACTGCAGGTCCCTATATGGCCTGGCCTCTGCCCAGCATCATCTCATAGCAGGCTGAGAACACTCATTGTCCAAGTCATGGTTCAAATGCCTTGTTCAAACAGGATTTCTTAAACTCCTATATAAACTTGACCCCCTATTACACTCTCTCAGAGCATCCTGATCCGTTTTCCTTTGTGGCACTTATCACTGTGTGTGAGAAGAAGTGATATGTAAAATGTTTAGCAACAGGTACCATGTGAACACTGACTGACCAATACAGAGGATAGGGTGATGCTCATGAGTAGGGGCTGAGTGTCATCTTTACATGTAAATGTGTGTGTGTGTGTGTGTGTGTGTTCCATGAAGGCAGAGACTGTGAATGCTGGGCTACTCTATCCAGTTCCTGTCAAACAGCCTGCTCTAAATAAACATCTATTGAGTGAATAAATGAGTGCCAGTCATCACCATTTTGGAGGCCTTTGGGCTGGGCAAGGGCCAGGTCTGGAAACTTCGAGCTGTATCACTTACTAGCTCTGTAAGACTGGACATTTCATCTGTCTATGGTTCTTGTTCATGTCTGTAAAATGGAGACAATACTAGTACTCATCTCATAAGTTTGGGGAGAGGATTAAGGGAAATTATTCTCAATCAATGCTCTATAAACTAGCTGTTATTATCACTGGCAGGGACCTAAGTCATTGAGCAATTTTGGGTGACCCAAATATATGCCATTCCTCAGTGTAGTCTAAAGTCAGACAGCCAAGAGACAGTTAGCAGGTAAGTCAATGGGAGGAGGAAAAAGAGGAGATGTGAAGGGGAGAAAAAAGGAGATGAAGAAGAGAGAAAGAGGGAGAAGTCAAAGAAGGAAGAAAAGAAGGATGCGATCTGAGATGGTTGATGGAGGTCTTGTGTCTGCCAGCCATTGTGTATGCAAAAGTATTAGCTCTACATTTCCCCATGACTCTTTGAAGAAAGTCACATCTAAAGTCACTCAGCTAGAACACAATACTAGAGTTAGTGGGAGAGTGCAAGAGATCTGGTTTAAATCTTGGTTCTATGGTTTCCATCCATTCCAACAACACCGTGATACTCAACTCCTACTCCACTGAGACCAGGAGAGAATTCTTGATAATCTGTTTAACAGTCTCCGTTTTAGTCAGAAAGAGACAGGAACTCTGAAATGTCTTATCAGATATCTACATAAATTCCTCTAAATAGATTGCATCTACTTAGCAGCAAGTTATAAGCTGCTGCCTAATAAACCAGACTTGTTTTTAGTCTAAAAAAACCACAGCTTTTGGTTGAATGGTTTTACTGAAAATGTCAGCACTCCATAATGAGATTTATTTTAAAAGGTAAAGGATTCTGGAAAAAAAAGAATTCTTTTTAGGAACACAGAGTGCTCTGCTTGACACAGACTCTGCATAATTTACATGTCGGGAAAGTCTGAATTCAGGCAAACACACAGGCCTATAAATAGTTTGGGGCCACCATCTCTAGCTCCTGGGTGGTATATTTATTTATTTAGACTTCAATCACACCTTTTTTCCCAAGTAACTCATGGAGAAAACATTGAATTTCATATTTCTAATATTAATATAATTAAAGTTTGGTTGGCAATAATATCCACAACAAATACAGGAGCAGGAGTAACAATAATATACTGTGTTCGTACAGCTCCTGGAGCTTTACAAAGCCCTTGAATAAGGATGCCCCCGTTTAATCCTCACAACAACCCTTTCGACTAGATGTTATTACCCTTATTTTAAAGACAAGGAAACGAAGGTCCAGAGATCCCTAAAATGACTTGCCCAATGTTTTGAACCCAGCAAGCAGTAGTGCAGAGATCTGAAACAGGAATCAATCGAGACACCAAATCCAGCCGTAGTGTCGGTTTTCTTCCCAGTCCCTCCCTCCTCCAAGTGGAGGACCCTACAGTGTGGAGTGAAAATATGGTAAAAGCCACGTCTAGAAGGAGCTGATGTGATGATGTATTCTTCTCCTGGCACTGTTCTCTCTGCCAACAACACTCATGACAGTCCCTCACAAACGTTGTCCTCTTCCAGTGTTCCCCATCTGGGGCAAAAACCCTCCTTCCATTCAGTTATGTGAGCTAGAGACTTAAGAGTCATTCTGGACTCGTCCCATTTCCTCACTTCCTGTGCCAAGTCCTAAACATTTTACTCCCAAAATCTCTCTCAAAGTCCCTACTTCTCTCCATCTCAAGCCTCACCATCCTAATCCAGTCTTCTGTATCTCCTGCCTGGACTGTTGCAGTCACCCTCTCACCAGGCTTGGGCTTCTAGTCACCAAGACCTAGTTTGCCTACATCTACTCTTATTCCCTTCCAACCTCATCACCATACTGCACTGAAGTAGACTTTTCAGAAAAACAAATCGGGCCTTCACCTCCCCACTCCAGCTTCAAACACTCCAATAGTTCCCCACAGCTCTTACAAGAAATGACAGAAATTCTTCACCTGGTCTACCAGGCTCTTCAGGGTCAAGCTTTACCTATCTCTTTCACCTCCTCTCGGGCTCGGACTCTCCACTCCATTCTCCTTGATTGTCTTTCAGTTTCTTGTACTCACTGTGCCCACTCCTACTAAAGGGACTTTGCACATGCTCTTCCCTCTGCTGGCAATGTTTTTCCTGATCTTTTTCACCTAGTTAACTCCTACAGTGCTGAGCTCAATTACTTCTTACACTGGCTAGTTTTCCCAGACCTCTGTGACTTCTTCTTTTCTTTCCAATATATAGTTTCATAGCACTTCACATTTCTCCTTCACAGTACTCACCCAAGATGCAATTTTACAGTTATTTCTATGATTACTTCATTAATGTTTATCTCTTCTCCTATGCGGTAAACTCCACAAAGACAGAGTTAGGGTGTGTCTTAGCATTCTTAGCATTGTGTCTCCAAGGTTGTGTAGGTATCCAAAAAATATTTCTGAAATGAACTAGTGAAGAATTACCAATCTTTGTGCTGCGCAAGCTGTATGCCTTGCCTCATACTGCTTGCAGAATCCTATCCTCTGGTTTACACATTGAAATACTCCTCCCCAAAAGAGCACGTTTTCAAGAAATAATCAGTAACACTGGGAAAATGTTCATGCGATAAGAGCGAGAAAGAGCAGGATACAATATACTACCTTCAATATACTTCCAATTTCGTAACAACAACAAAAGGATGCATAGATCAAAATATTAATACTGATTATTTCTGAGTGGTGGGATTTTAAATGACTTTCATTTCTTTTCATGCTTTTGTTAGCTAGAGCTTAATTTTTTTGATAGTGAACATTCTACTTTTATGATAAAAAAGATAATTTTAAAAATGAAAAAAATATCATCCCTCCTTCACATACCCAGCTTAAATCTTATCTGTTTCACAGAGGCTTCCCCTCACCTCCTCACCCCCGAGGGGATGTCATCTTTCTTTCCTTTAAATACTTGCAAGTCTCTATCAGTGTCCCGGTTAGGGCCTTCATCACAACCTTCTCTATATTACGGTGATTTCTATATTTGTCCTATTGTTCCCCCAACATTTGAGGAGAGACCCTCTGGTGGAGAGGTGGTGCCTTAGTCATGTCTGGGACCTTTTACTGTGCCAGCACAGAGTCAAAGAAAGCAGGGTCTTAGCAAGTGAGTAGAGCATGGAATTAAAAAACTAGAACCTAAGATTCTCCCTTCTGGTGTGGGGGTCCGGTTCTCCTAGCAGAAGATTTGCTGCATCTCCTCTTGCCCCCTCTGTTCCTCAGCACCAGAGTCATTTCACTATTTGAGGGAGAAGGGGCCCTACCCTCCAACATAAGGGGGGACCTAGGAGCTCTGTGCAATTCGCAGTTTCCTCAGATGACAACAGTTTCGCCAGCAGAGGGCAACAGCGAACTAGCAATGACAGGTAGGACCCAGCAGAGAAAGTT